CTAACTTGAGCTTGATTTCGGAAAATACCTGGATTTCTTGTCGTGTCGCGTATTCAGATGGAATTATCTGGTAGCATTCTTAAGAGATACATTATTCTTTTGAGCATAATCAACCACTTTGAGGTCTCTATTCTAATTTTATTATTTATTTATTTATTTGATGCACTCTAGGTGCGCCTAAACAAGGAACCGAGAACGGAAAGCTAGAACAGCACGACCAATCAAATTAGTAAAATCGAAATAAAAAAAAACAATCCTAACAGTGGTTAGTAAGAAAACACAAGCTCGACTTGTTAAAAAAAATCTCATCTCTAGTTATCTTCTTGTATTTTTTGCTCCGACATTAGCCAACACAAACATTTGCAAACCATTGTAGCGCTGACCATGATATAAAACAACCGCAGTCTAGAACCCAGGGAACACCGAACGAACACATTAATGCGTAGAACCACAGCAAAAGCATACAACGAGACCTAAAAATCCGGTATTTTCAAAATATTAAGAACATTTACTCTCTCTAATTTCTTTCGAAAAACACAAGAATTTTCACTTTGTATCAAGTCTATCGGAAGAAGTGGTATCCATCTAGCTGTACGGCAAATAAAAGAGTTGAAAGTTTTCAGAAATCTTCTATTACCAAGTTTACGATAATGAAGGTAAAACCCACCTGTTCTCTGACTGCAAGGTTTGAAAACCCAGTATTTGCTAGCTCTAAGTTTTGTTTCTAATCGCAAGATTCGAAAACAAAGAACTAGGTCGCTTACAATCCGTCTATATTTCAAACTTTGAAGATTTAAACTTCTGAGACGATCATGGTACGACGGTAAAGATTGCGAATATCCTGAATTTGGAAAGCATCTGTAAAAAAGGATTCTAGTAAAAGTCTTTTGTATTTTCTCCAATTTTTCAATGCTTTTTTGAGGAAAGGGCTCCATACAGGAGATGCGTATTCCAGATGAGGTAATACGCAGCTCCTGTACAGTTTCAAAAAAATTTCCGGATCTTTACTGTGTATGCTTCTAAAAATTGTAAAAAGGACTGAGTTTGACTTTTTCACTACTAACTCAAGATGAGAAGAAAAACTGAGTGAATTGTCAATCAATACTCCGAGGTCTCTTACAACACAGGAGCTCTCAAGAGCAACACCATCGCAGCTGTAGGTAGCACAAGGGGAATCACCGAGATGCATGACAGTAGTCTTGGAGGCATTGACAGGAATTTGCCAAATTTTTGACCAAGCTACCATTCTTTGGATTGACATCGAGAGCGCTTCGAAAGCTTCTGTCTGTTGGTCTTCGGAATAGCAAAAGTAGACCTTGATGTCATCAGCAAACATCTGAACTTTAATCTCGGGGTGAGTCTTCAACCATGTTGGTAGCTCAGCAACATACACCAAAAAAAGTAAGGGGGAGAGGATACCACCCTGTGGTACTCCACTGCCACAATGGTATCGCTCAGAGTATTTATGACCCACTCGGACTGTCATTCCTCTCTCCCTGAGATAGGATGAAAACCATTGCAGTAAAGAGCCTCTATGCCATAGCTGTGAAGTTTAAAAAGAAGTTTCTGATGGTTAACTTTGTCAAAAGCTTTCGAAAAATCAAAATATATAACATCGACCGATCTACCACTATTAAGCGCTGTAGACCAATCGAAAACCGAATCTGCGAGAAGGGTCGTTGTGGAACCACCAGGGATAAACCCATGCTGTTCGATGGGGATGACATGTTTCTCATCTAGCCATTCATAGAGTTTGCTCCGAATTAGTTTTTCAAGAATTTTGCCAGAAGAAGGCATAATGCTTATAGGCCGAAAGTTTGATATGATGTTGGCATTTCCTTTCTTGGGGATTGGAGTTACAAGGGCCTCTTTCCAGATTTTGGACACTACCCCAGTGCGGAGAGAGACAGTATAAATGTACGAGAGCGGAAAACTAAGTGGTACAGCACATTTTCTGTATACTATCTGTGGAATTCCATCATAAGTGGCTGTAATCATCGATTTGAGTTTACTCAATATCTTGAAGACGCTTTCAGCAGTGGCTTGTACATCACCACAAGATTCAGGGATATACATAATCTCTTGAGCACTTCCATTAAAAGCTTCATCAACATCATGATCAAACACTTTTGAAAAGAAAAGCCCCAAGGCATGTGCCTTCTCCTGATCATCCTTGAAAGTATTTCCTAGATCATCAAACAAAGTTGGTAATTTCATCCCGCCTTTGACCTTGGACTTGTAATAACGAAAAAATTCTTTGCTTCCCCTCCTGGCTAGGCGATGCTCGTAATTAGACAGATATCTTTTCAGGTAATGATTTAAGTCTAGACAGCAGAGGTGCGATAGGGGGAGCCGGGTCCCCCAAAAGTGAAGGTGGTTTCAGCTACCACTGGCCGGCCAAAAGTGAAGGTGGTAGTGTCGGACACTCACCTCCCAAAAACGTCGACGGGGGGGGGGGGGGGGGAGGTGCGGGGGGAGGATAGAACGGACGAACGGAGCTATCTTTCTAGGTCTAACGTCGACCCAACGGCCCTCCTTAGGGCCACAGATACGATGAATATTAAAAATATCTATAAATTTTATTTATAAAAATTTAAAATAGAGTGTTTAGTAAATGGTGTATTTGGAAGTACAAGTTTGTTGGACTGTACGGATTTTATTAAGCAAATTTTGTTATAACGTACAGCGAAGAAAGTAGATTGATCCAGGCAGTAACGGCCGAGAATCAGAATTTCGAATAAATAAATAGTGAAAAATCATGCAAAATTTCCACTGTTATAAATCTGTTGTTTGAAGATGTCAGCAGTTGCGACTTCATAGGCTTTGAAGAGTAGATGTTGCTCTATCAGCTAGTGAAAAAATCGGGTCGATTTAAGAGATAGTCGTTGAAAACCAGAGTCCTAAAACTTTACGCCATTTTTGCGTGTTTTTTGACTTTTGAGAGTTAAACTCTTATAAATCTTGAATGTGAAAGTGTGTGATGTTGCGACTTCATAGGTTTTATAGAGTAAGCTTTGCCTTATCAGAATATGTCTTGTCCGTTCCGATCCATTGAAACACCTCCGAGATCCAGGCTCTTGAAAAAGCAGGTAAAAAACAGCTTTTTGAACTTCAACAGCTCGTAACTTCTTCAGAACTGCATGAATCATGTTGCGACTTCATAGGTTAGATTCTTCTCATCAAGAGCTTTCAGATGATATATAATATGTGGGGGTTTAGAGCCTCCTACGAATTATGCCCGGGGGGGGGGAGACTTTTTAGGCCAAAGTCTCCCCCTCGCCCATCCAGCCAATACATTAAAATGGGCGAGGGGGAGACTTTGGCCTGAAAAGTCTCCCCCCCCTGTCATAATTCGCAGGAGGCTCTAAACCCCCACATATTATATATCATCTGAAAGCTCTTGATGAGAAGAATCTAACCTATGAAGTCGCAACATGATTCATGCAGTTCTGAAGAAGTTACGAGCTGTTGAAGTTCAAAAAGCTGTTTTTTTACCTGTTTTTTCAAGAGCCTGGATCTCGGAGGTGTTTCAATGGATCGGAACGGACAAGACATATTCTGATAAGGCAAACCCTACTCTATAAAACCTATGAAGTCGCAACATCACACACTTTCACATTCAAGATTTATAAGAGTTTAACTCTCAAAAGTCAAAAAACACGCAAAAATGGCGTAAAGTTTTAGGACTCTGGTTTTCAACGACTATCTCTTAAATCGACCCGATTCTTTCACTAGCTGATAGAGCAACATTTACTCTTCAAAACCTATGAAGTCGCAACTGCTGACATCTTCAAACAACAGATTTATAACAGTGGAAATTTCGCATGATTTTTCACTTTTCAAATATTCAAAATTCTGGTTCTCGGCCGTTACTGCCTGGATCGACCTACTTCCTTCGCTATACGTTATAACATAATTTGCTTAATAAAATCCGTACAGTTTTGCTAAGCTTTACTTCCAAATACACCATTTACTAAAAACCTTTATTTTAAATATATATGCCGCCGTATACATAAATATATGCTTTCAATAATCTTTTTTGCGTTTGTTTTGCTTATTTTCCTTCTTTGTCGTCCAGCGAAAAATTTTTTATTCCAAAAGTGAAGGTGGTCACCCCGTACCAGCTCAAAAGTGAAGGTAGGGGGAGACTTGGCTCCCCCTATCGCACCTCTGCTAGACAGACTTTTCTGTAGCGAGGATCCATTTGTGGATTTGGGCAGGCAAAAAAAGTCTTGTTTTTTGGTTGATCAAATTGCAAATTTGGGCAGGATATCCAGAAGGTGGTTTTCGTTTGGAAAACGGTACATACTGCGCAAAGATTTTATATAGAATCGTGCAAAATCGATAGTACAAATCATCAATCGAGGTATAACTATCAAAAACTCTTGACCAGCCAACAGCTAGAAGAGCTTCATTCATTTTAGAATAGTCAGCATTAGAAAAGTCAGGCAGAGGCAAAACAATGTTTTTTTCGAAAGCAAAAAGAACACGAAAAACTATAATGTTGTGATCAGATGATAGACATTCAATGATATCGCTAGAGCAAAAAACTAGATCAATAGCAGATGATCCCCTAGTGGGGACGTCGACTTGCTGCATAAGCTCACAGGCTTGAAAGAGGGAGAGAAGGCGCTCGACCTGTGGGTGTCTAATAGGGGATAAAACGTCAGCATTGAAGTCGCCCAGAACAATCGTATTCAATGGCACAGAACAAAGATCAGACAAGGCATTGATCAATATTTGGTCATCATTAGCCGTCGAAGCCGGTGGGCGATAGACAATTATGACCCTTAAGGGCGAAAATGAGAGAGTAGAAAAAATATCTAGGCAGAGAATATCAGCTTTCATGATTTGAGCAAAGCATGTGCGCTGAACAGCAAATTCGCTTTTTATCAGGCAACACACACCTCCACCTTTGTTCCCAAGGCGGTCGGAGCGGCAAACGGTATAAGGGAGATTGGAGATGAGCTCACTGTCACAAATTCTAGGACTCAACCATGATTCAGTTATACAAAGAATGTCTGGAGAGTAGAAGACTAGAAAAGCATGTAATAAATGTATTTTGTTTACCATACTGCGTGCATTGAACAAAAAACAGGAAATGTAATCAGTAGTGCCTAGCTCCCTTATGCGTTTCCCTGGAGCGGTCGTCTAGGGAGGTCAGAGATACGTTTTAATTCCCCCTTGTAGACCACCCATTCCTTTACAGCCTTCCCTCGATTCCTCTCCCCAGCCTGTTTGCGCAATTCCGAGTCCAACGCGCGCTCTGCAGGTGTCATGCTTTTTCGAAGGAAGACGTTGGACATAGTAGAACTTCGTAGTAGATATGAGTTGCGAAGTGCCTGAGACCAAAAAAATCGCGACGGAAACACAAGTTTTACCAATCTAGGTCTGCTCTCAGTAAACCTACCCATCCTGTAAATTTCGCTTGGCCAACATTCGACATTTATGATCTCCAGTACTCGAGCCACACTTTGGTCCAAATGATTTTTCTTTTCCAGCAACGACAGATTACTCGGAGCCTCGGGTAGCCCAACCAGAACAACACTTCTCTCACGTTTTTCAGTCTCGATATCTTTCGGCATTTTGTTCCTCAAAGCTAAAACCATCCTCTCAATAAGTGGATCAGTATTTCTATCCAAGATAGATTGTATGATCTCACTCGTTGAGAGGTCATTGAAGTCAATTAATTTGCCTACAATTGCATAAATTCGGTATGGGAGTTCCAAGCAATGACGGAAAAATGTTCTCGATCCAAATTTTGAAATTTTTTACAGTTTATGTCAAAATCACAATGTCTCATTGCCTCCCATCTTTGCAGTTTTTTTTACCTAAGCTGAATAATACTGCTGCTCATCTGAGCAAAAAACTCTCGAGCTTACTATTAACACCAGACTTCAGACCACTAACTCTAATCTCCTTTCGCGCAATAAAAATCTAATGGTGACCTACTAAACACAGAAAATATCGATTACGATGGTTACCTAAGCATATCTCCAAAACTGCACATTACTCTGCTCAATATTGAGGCATGAATCGCACCGGCTGTAATCCAAAAGGACTGGAACAGGCCCCAATTTACATCTTGAAAGCCCGTGTTCGCAAGGGGACATCAGAATTGACGTCAGAGTTGCGTCAGAAGACCTCAAAAACGTAGGTTGTTGCTCATGATTTTTCTAGCATTCAGCACCAATTTTTTTCGCCAACAATCACACAGTCGTGAACGAATTGAGACTTTTTGATCTCCCAGAAAAGACTCTAATTCTAATGCGTTTTCTTCTGAATCTGTCATGAGGATCCGGGTTAGGCGGAATTGAAAATATGTGCTCTTTTGCGAAAACGCGTATAGAAGTGTAAACTCGTTTGGGAGATGCTGTAAAGCTTCACAAAGTTGCTTGCATTCATAACTTATCTAGTTTTGAGAAACGGCGCGCAGCGGATTGCAAAAAGAATTTTTTGTAAAACCAACGCAACTATTCCTTAATATGCATAAGTTTTCTGTTTATTTTGCAAAGAAAAGTTGTGTGTAGGAATCGCGAGCTTTTTCTGATAAATTACTGCCGGAAACAAGATATTGAGGTACAAAAATCAAAGTTGCATATGTCCGCTCTTTTTGCACGTTTGAAAAATCTTGGGTTCTGAGGCAGTGAGTGCAAACATTGTGATAAATTGCTCAAAAGTTTCAGTTTGATATATATCTCCAGCATTCCAGCGCAACCGAAAAACCTGTTTACATGAAAGCTTTGGGTTTCTTGAGGGAATAAAATATGAAATTGAAAATTAGGAACTTTTCGGTGAGGAAATCTATACGTGGAGGGGATATGTACTCCATAAACTCCATAAAGTGCTTTTTTGAGCAAATTTCGCAAGATGATTACGCTGATACGAGAGAGTCCTAGCCTATTCTCGTAAAGTATGTGATGTTGGATGTGAGACAGCATCTCGAAGACGCTCACAGCTTTCTTCAGTTTTTGTTGAATTATAAGAAAGTGAGGAATCTAGCAAAATATGCAATTTAGTTCATTCATCTATATCATGAGACATTCTACACACTGCTAGCAACTGGTTTTCCTTTATAAATCTACCACGGTTCCCTCTTTGAAGCGTAAGCCTGAATGTATCAAGGCAGACTAGCGCCAGACGCAATGTACGCAAAAGTTTCCATTTCCTCAAAAAAGCAGCCTCTAGCTACCAATGTACTATTCAGCATTATAATGTTGTTGTGAGCATTTAGAATGTGTACGTCCGTTCAAAGAAGAGACAGACAGAAGGAAATTGGACTGATGGCCTTCTCAGACCAGAGTGTAAACATTATTGCGTAATTACAAATCATTTTGAACTTGCGCATAGCTTTATTCAAGCGTCGAAATGAATTCTAAAACGAGTTCTTTTTTCTCAAAAAGGATGGCAAAATGGAGTGAGGCGGAGCTATGACTGGATTTAACCAAGATTTAGCCTCACTCTGAGTCAAAAGAGACTTCAAGCTTTGGAAACTAGAGCTGTTATGGCACTAACATTAACTTTATAATAATTGGCTATACTGCGGTTCGTCGTGAATTTTCTCACGCATGGTAACGTCGACTTTTATGTAGATTGCACTACCGAGCATTGTTACTGAAGATGTTAACCGTTTACCTTACCTATCCAATGGGTGTACCCGTAAATAAGGTGTGATCTCTGTGTCCCTGTGTGATCGAATAAACTGTAAGTCGATATATTATCTTACGTTTATCATTTCACATTTTTTACGAAACAAACAATATGCATAAGACGATTTGTAGGAGATAAGCGCTGGCTAAACGTCTGCGAGCAGTCACGCACGGTTATCTAATGAGCTCAGAGATTATCGCATGTTGAGATAATAATCTGTATACTATACTTCAGTGATCATTTATTCCTATAGAATTTCTGTTAATCTCTTTTTCACTAACGTTTAGCTTAGAGAAATGCAAAGTTTAAGACAAGACGAAGGTCTACTGTTAAATTGTTTACGTTCTTAATGATTACTAGAACATGGCTACATTCTATCGGAAAACATGAGATTTGATATTTGAGAAAAAACATTTTGTAGAAATGATCAACGAATCCAACTGCGACTCGTTTGATGAACTGACTCATCTTATCCTCTTCTTTCGTTGTTTCTGAAGCCTTTTCTGAGTTCTGGGCATGGTACCATCAAAATTTACCTTTATTATGGTAGATCCCATCAAGAAGTGAACATCTATGAAAACGCCTCCCATATATTCTATATCGCTCGACGAAAGTGGAGTGAAAATTACCACATTGAAAAAAAATGAATATGACCTACCCCAAACCATTTACAATAGGTTTCCAGTCATTGATTTGGCAAAAAAAACTTGACTATAGCGTTTGAATGACTCTTGATATTAGCGTAGAATTGGCTGGCTTCATCTATGTAATCAACTTTTTCGTAGCGCAATCCTGTTAATCACTACGACGGAAATGAAAATGAGAGTTTGTAGGTACTCAAGCCATATGCGATCTTTACACTGTAATCACTTGCTTTGACTGGTCCTTCAGTTGAGGTTACTGTAGTATAAGTACAGCTGGAAGGCTGGAATTGTTATAGTTTCATAATTTCTGTGATGAAGAAAAAGAACAGTTTGCAATGTTTATACTCCCCTTGAATGTCTATCCGCTGTTGTATTTCAATAACTGTGAGTCTTTATCTGGAGAAAAGATCAAGGCTCAGGGTTGAGATTCTGAAATATGATGCATTCTTCGATTGAATCAACCTTTTCATCATAAAATATCGAGAAGTCGAACGCTGAAGCGTTAGCAATCTCTGTAATCTCCATACCATGTCTATTTTGCATTTTTTGAGGGCTCTTATTCACCCGGTAATCAGTACCTACGAACTGTTTCAGCTGTTCTTCATTATCTAAAGCAAAGCAAGAATAATGTGGCTGCGCTGAGCAACAATTTCACATCCATATAGCTGAGAATGCTTTTCAAAAGTATAATCAGGATATTCTCTCAAAACAGTTTTTTTTGTAAAATAGAAAAATACGGAAATACAAAATTGTGGTACAACATCGTAGCAAAAAAAAACATAGCAAGAGACCATGAGTAAGTGTACGATTTACTGTCTTAAACAAATTCCATTTTGCCTCAGATCAAGTTACCCGCTTTTTCCTATTTCAAGCACGTAAAGACGTATCCACGCAATAAAATGATCGGCTTTTTCTTAACGAGTTCCTCCCATCATGTGTGACGCAAAACTTGGGAAGCACCTCAAAGGGGCGGGTCGCACAAACCTCCTATCACAACACATGCGCTCCCCACGTATGCTACTCAAGCGACTCTCACTTCCTCGAGGTAAAGTAAAAAAAATGGAAAGTGTCTTTGTACTCTTATCTGTTTTAAATAAAGCAGTCTCTCCATGGTTGCCTGGATGTTCTATACTGTTTCGCTGAAATACATGTCTATCTTTTAGGAGAACGGCGGCGACGTTCTGCAGAAAATGGTACAAATCAAATCGCCGGTTCACCTTCTCCACGATTAAGGTAATTCTGGAATTTCTACTCTTCAAACTTCTAAGTCTTTCACTTCGAACAAAAATACCAATTCAAAACACCTTTCTAACTTTGTCATCAGAAAAGTAGTCTGAAGCATAAGATTCTCATGCAAAAGACATTTTTGATTGAAATGGATGTATGTAGCGCAGGTCAATAATTCTAGCTGCTTACAATCTTTTGGAATGGTCAGAAATTGAACATTAGAGGTATCGTATGATATACTAGAACTTATTATGGGTATTTATCACTCGTTTCTAAAGATATCAAAATTCGATCCGCGCATTTGAATTTTCAACTTATTATAGTGTTTTCGACATCATCACATTTACAATAGCATACGAAGAGCAGTATTTGGAATATGTTTTCATTTTATTGATGGAAGCAATAATAATATTGGTAAAAAATTTCGGTATTTAACATCAGCTAGTATGGCTCTAAAAATTCTGGAGAAAAACATTTTCTTTTACTTTTACTGCTCTATCGCATTTCATGAACTGACGTTTTTTGCGTAACACAAACTTCATATGTTTTTTTGTTGTTTTTGTTTTCTGCATTCAAGCTTTGATTGAAGTAGACCCTGACGATCTGCAAAAAGCTGTGATACTGTTAGAAACTCAAATAGACTTTGCAATTCTTTCTGTTGAGTAGGATCTTCCGCAAACTTTCTCTGTAGGGCCGGCATACTTCACGCGATTTCAGTCGCGACGCGATTTGGCAATTCGCCACAAGTCTTCAGATCCAATATTAGCAGACTGCACATGAATAGTGTGTACAACTTGAGATTGATAAAATGCCCTATCTTCTGTACATTTAAAACGTGCTTACAGTGGGTTATGGACAGTTGGAATATTGCCTAACCGCGTCGCGCCCAAAATCGCGTGAAGTATGCCCGGCCCTTGAAGACAGCGTCCAGGCAAATCTGGACCTATGGGACTCTAACATGGAAAGTAATTTTGAGGCCCTAAATAAGACCCTGCCCAAGCGGCAGCTCAGATAGTGCACTTACGGCTAAGATGTTGGGCTCCGATATGCCCTGTGACCGTATTCGCATGGATTCATGGTTCGGCACATCAGCTTCGCGTGGATCCTCGCGCGAAGGCGCCACGAATCTATGCGAATACGATCACGGAGCATAGTTTGGAGCCCAATATCTTAGCCGTAAGTGCACTATTTGAGCTGCCGCTTGGGAGGGTCTTATTTAGGGCCTCAAGATTACTTTCCACGTGAGAGCCCCATAGGTCCAGATCTGCCTGGACGCTCTTTTAAGAATTTAATTGGTCTTTATTCAAATAAGCATCAACGACTCTACTCCATCCCGCTTGTAAGCGAGTCTGTTTTTCCCACCCCAGGATCTGCCTCTTATCTTTCGCTGACGAAGGCAAGATTTGTCTGATCTTTTCCAGACACGGTAGCTCAACAAAAACAACTCATGACCACCTGATGCGAATATGGCATTTATTGAAGCGCATTTTCCACCTTTCTTTCCAGCTTTCTCCAGTCCGTTTTGATTTGGCAGATATCTTGAGTTCATCGTGGTGCTCACCCCTTACTAGTCTAGTCAAGAAATTGGATGAAACCCAGACTGCTTCAATGTTTTGAGTCAAATGTTTTCTCATTATCATCTGTAAAGCTTCATGTGCGATGGACAGTGCAAAATCTTTCATCAATTTATTTACTTTAGTCCTAACGAGTGGCAGTTCGCCTTCGATCACGTTATCTCCGATGCTGATGGACGGGCACAGTTTACCAAATTCTTGCAATCTGAGTACTCAGAGGAAAACATACTATTTTGGTCAGTTGATTCTGTCCTCACATCTTCACAAATGTGTTAGGTTGTCAAAAAATTATGTCGTTTTTATTGCTCGCTTTAGCATAACAACTATGCTCAACCAAAAGTAGGGTAAGGGGTTTTGTTCGATAGAGCAAAGAAATCTCTACTAGCTGGCATTCATGATGTCGCGCCAAGTTTGATCCATGAGTTTGAACTCAAAATCAAAGATTTCTAAATGCTTAAAAAATCGGAGAAAATCGATTTCTATTCAAATAATTTCTACGCACCTCCCACTCGCACACGTCAATACCTTCGATATCAGACATCCATATGTGCAGTTGCCGTATTTTTCCCTGATTAGAAACTGAGGAAACGAGCTTTCTTGATATTCTCAGCAATGCAGAGTCGTTCTTGCATATGAACTTCTGTACTATAAGCTTAGATAAGTATAACTGTAAATTTTCAGCCTATTCCGAGCGATAGTTTGCGATAATTATCGTGCTAAATTCGATATTTCTCAAAAATTACCTCTCGGAATATGCTGAAAATCTACAGTTATACTTACCCAGGCGTGTAGTATAGAATTACATATGCAAGACTCAGCATTGTTTTGAAAATATCAAGTCGAGTGTGTTTATTCTGGTACATCAAGGTACTAAATTGATATCTGGACAACTCGAAGCAAGTATCTGACTTATTGCATGTTTGTACTTACTTCAAAAAAGAATTTCACTCTATTTCTTTCAAGGTGGGCAGTCGAAGAGCTGAAGACCGTATGTGCAACAGAATCCCGGCCAGAATTTGAACGGACTGTGTTGGAGATGTTCGAAACGTTTATCGCTTCGGAGAGTCCGCTTGCGATTAACATCGATCACGATACTAGGACAGACATCATTGATCGGTTAGCTGCTTTATATTTTCTTTGGTGCCATATATGAAACTGAGCGCCCAGAAGCGATACTCAAAGTGCGTATATACTCAGACAATTATGGCGAGCGCGATATCTGAATTATGCAGGACTGTAAACACCTATCTCATTTCCAGCCTGGTACAAACGATGCCTACACAGAATTACAATGTGACGTCTAAACTATTAGGTTGTTACATAAGTCTTGTTACACTTAACTTCTAACGGCCATAAGTCATGTACCTCATAATCTTTGCAGGACTCCAAGGTACCATTCGATAGAGCAAAGCAAGCTCTCCAAGATAGCCTGCACAGTTTCACACCAACATCGACCCACGTTAACTTTGAATCCGAAATTTGAGTCGTAGTGAAGGCTCAAAAATTGCGAAAAATTCATACCTTTGTTCAGAAAAACCCTACGAATCTCCAACTTGCTCATAAAAATTGCACACTATATCAGACACTCATGTGTACCATTGCTGTATTTTTTCCTCACCTAGAAATCGAGAAAACGAAAATTTTCTTAAATAGTTCCCACACTTTCACCTTTAGTTTCAGTTCCACGGTAGTTATCCGAGACACTAGCAACGACCACAGCCCGGCTTTATTCGACTTCTAACTGAAACGGCTCACGCTGAGGCCTATCATCGCGGCGAGTCCCACGCAAGTAACAAGTTCGCTTACTGCATGCAAGAATTGCGTCTCAGGAAAGGCTCGCGCTCACCAGAATGGTTCTGTCGGGCTGTGACGTAAAAGACCAGGGCTTGCCGAGAAGTATTAGGTTGTCTCATAAGTTTTTTCAATTTTGATTTTCTAAAGCAATAACTCGCATACTTCTCAGTTCTAATTATGATGCAGGGAACCGTTCGATAGAGCAAAGCAAGTTCTATAAGATGGCGTGTAAGTGTTTGCACCAGCTTCCACATCACAAGTTAGAAGCCGAAATCTGAGAACTTCTGAATGCCCAAAAATTGAAAATTTTTGTAACTTTGCCCGAAGAAAACTTACCAGGTCCCAAAGTTATTCACGCATATATACTCCAAACAACATACTTATATGTGTGTTGCTGTGTTTGTTTCTGTGCTAGAAACCGAAAAAACTAAAATTTTCATGCTTTCAAAAAAGCGATGCTGCGCTGTTTTCAAACAGATAAATGTATACTACAGCCTTCAGTAATATATCGGTATTTCAGCTTCCCGGAAGCGCTTGTTCTTGAGAAATACCGAATCTAGCTTTTTTGCTTAGTATTACATGTTGAATTTGAAATCTCTTGGGAACTAGAGCTTATAGAAAGCTGGAAATTTGTGACTGTACTTCTATAGGCCTATAGTATACATTTACCTGTGTAAAAACAGCGCAGCATCGCTTTTTTGGAAGCTTGAAAATTTTGGTTTTCTCGGTTTCTAGCACAAAAACAAACACAACAACGGCACATATGAATGTGTTCTGTGGAGTGTATATGCGTGAATAACTTTGGGACCTGGTAAGTTTTCTTCGGGCAAAGTTACAAAAATTTTCAATTTTTTGGGCATCCAGAAGTTCTCAGATTTCGGCTTCTAACTCGTGATGTGCTGAAGCTGGTGCAAAAACTCACACGCCATCTTATAGAGCGTGATTTGCTCTACTGAACGGTTCCCTGCATCATAAACAGAACTGAGAAGTGTGCGAGTTAATGCTTTAGAAATTCAAAATTGAAAAAAAAACTTATGAGATAACTTAACACATTTCGGACCGCGAAATCGCGCGCGGCGAAAAAGAAGGTATTTTCAGCCGTTAGCCCAACAAAGGGACCTTATTTCCCAGACTGTGTGCTACATCTGTAATCAGCATGTCAGATAAGATCGATACGCAAAGTTCTGAATGAATTCGAAGTGTTTGAATTTTGTCGCTTGTGAAGGACTTTCGCGCTTTCTTGAAAGATAGAAACAAGAACTCAGTTTCTAACTGTACCCAAAAGTGTATATGCTGTACACTATACACATCATTATTGAAATCACGGTTTTCCTCATTGAATTCGGAGCAAGGAAAAGTTGCGATGTCGCACGCGTCGTTCGCGTCGCCGCACTTCGTTGCAACTGTTGTTCGATTTGTCCTCATGTCTCCTGAACAAATATCGGCGGCGCAGCTCTACAAAATTATTTGAAAAGTAGGATCCTAGGCCTTTGACTCTTGATAACCTTGGACAAAAAGAAAACCTCCTGTAGAGTTTAAAAAGATCCTTCAAAGCCGCGTGCTGCACCATGTGCAGCACCGGTCCGAAACGTGTTAATAAATACGCAGGGCGTCCTGTAGGACCCGGGGCTCGCTCAAGTGTTTTTTGTTCCTTGGGTGTTCCGTTGAAAGAGTTAGAGCCGTTTGTTTAATCTTGATTCATACAGTCCTCCAGAACTAATGGGTTTGTAAAGGAAAGCGAGGGTTGTATAACACGAGAGAGATTTGCGCAAGGAACATGAATAGACTCCGCTTGTCTCTCATGGATGTACAGATAAAATTTGCATGGAAAAGAAACTGTTAGCGTTATGGCTGCGACTCCGAAACAAGTTGAATGTGCACGCGGTGTATGCATTCTTCATGGCTAACAGCTATTGTATACCAATACGGAGAACCCTACCATTAAAGTCATCTGGGCTGGAGTCCGATCTGCAACGATGATGGATGAAAAATGTACAGATCCTCTAATGGCAACAGGCATGCAGCCGCAACGATACGCGCGCGGCTAGTAAATCACTCGGGAACCTTGGATTTGAGTTTTGTCGGTCTTCTCTGCCTGTTTCTCATTCTTTCATGGATAATCAAGAGCTTTGACTATTATCTGTGGGCATAGTATAGCTCAGAAACCCGCTTGCGCGTAGCTGTGTAAATGCGCTGCGCGGGCCTATCGCCGTAGTTTCCAGTGTACTGCCAAGGTTGCGGCTCGGGTCCTCGCGAGCGGCCTTGCTTGAGCAACTCGACGCGTTTGACGTGTTTTCGGGGCATTTTTCAGGCAGGACTCAGTTTGCTAAGTCAATCCGATAAGGCGGTTAAATACAATGAAGTATAAAGTTGAGACCAGCCTTCTCATGTTTTATCTTGGAGCACAAAGGGACATGGCAAGAGAGCTTCTCAACAACTAAACAGTGGGCTCAATTGATGAGACACTCTGATTTTTCTCTACAAAAAGCTAAAAGGGTGGTATTTTGAAATAGCTTTGTTAAAAACGTTTAATTGAAAACCATAATCGGTCAGAACAGCCTCAAGCTTCGTGTCAAATCATCAATCTTGAACACACTTATCTCTTCGTATAAAGGGACCTTTTCCATGTTGAAATACTTCTTTGTTTCAGGGTTGAAAACCAAGACCCGTCTTCGTTTCCTGATAACATCTATGAGCGAGCTCAGGCACATGTTTATCGACTTATGGAAAAGGTTTGTAATTTTCCACTCTTTATATCAGTAAGTGTGGAAAGTGTTTCTACTTACTTGTAGGTAAATATGAAAGCATAGGATTGTATCTAGTAAGCAATGGGGCATTTAGATTGTGGATGCACTCGCTCGATTAGATAAATCAAATCATTGTCTCTATACTGGCAGACATCAGAACAGTGTCTTTTTAAAGCACAGAGAATTGCCATAGAGAAACCGTAGGCACTGACAGAATGTTAGATGAATGCCACTTGTACATAGGGAATGTTGTCGGTGATCAGAAATTATAAGATTAGTATACTGAAGCCACTATCATTCTATTGGGTTGTTTCAAAAGTTCTACCCGTTTTCAAACTTTGACTTTGATTCATCATAACTCTTCTCAGAAATAATCTTTGCAATTGTTATAAACTGTATTATAATCTGCAAATCTTTGGCTATTCTGAGCACTCTTTAAGATTATTTCAGTAACAGTGAAGAAGATTTTATAGGCGAAAATCGAGGAACATCCCCTTGTAAAAACCTTCACTTTGCAAAAGCATAACCTGATTTGGAATATAGCTGAGTTGCATAAGCACTGCTCACAGTGTAGCCTATAATCGACTGAGCAGTACCGCTAACTTTGGATTTCATCAAACTCCTTCATAAAAATTTTGTGCTGAAAAATCAGAAAGGACCCACTTATTTTGCTCTTTCTGAGGCGGCAAAAAATGCATTTTTTGACATTTTTGATTTGTTCGCCGTTGACAAACCAGGAAATCTTCTCATTTTTCTAGTAGCAGTTGTTCTAGCTCTAATCTTACTATGTAGAGTAAAAGTTCCGCGATTGCAATATGTTTATGATTTTTATGCGACTTGAAGGGACCATAAAGACAGGTTATGTTTGAGCTAAAAATTTGTAGGTTCAAAATTTTTCTGAAATCACATCTTGATGAGCGTTTCGTAGCACAAGTCTCCAGCAAACACTTATATGTTTTGGAAAGAATTTCTTCTTTTGGCTGTAGATTTCACGGCGATAAAGCAAAGACGAAAATTTTCACATTTGTTTCGCTGTCTTTTTAATGTAACAACCACACAACGAACAAAGATCTATGAAAAAGAAAATATGCATGAAAAACTAGAAGAAAAGAGATTTTGAATGATATAAACATTGTTTATGCAAAATGGTTTTTTCCTCCAAAATGGGCAGTTCAAAAAAAGGTATCGAAAACGGGTAGAACTTTTGCAACAATCCAATATAACCAACTTATGGGTCTTGCATCCTTTACTACGTAGTTTACCCATCCCCCGCAAGGACAGCTGCATAAAATATGATTCAACTGGCTTGGCTCACAAAGCCCCGCCTTCCAGAAGCGAAGTCAATTGCACCGGAGGTTATATATCGTATAAATAATAATAGTTTTGATAACAAGGCAAATGTGGAAAACGATCAAGTTTAGTAATTTAGAAAACCTTTTCTCTCAGTCTTGACGCTTCTTGTTCGCCGCTGGTTTGTTTTTCTCTCAAAATGAAGCTTTTTACTAACAAGAGAGCAGAGAGCACAAGAAGAGAGCAAGAGAGAGCACACCACTTCAATCCGTCATTAGGAAGATAGGAGCAACCTTTGGTACTTAAATCGATTTATGGAATTTTTGAAAGTCACCTACATGATCGATCCGCACTGTATATAGTCATGCAAGCACAGTTTTGAGCCGTAATCTGTTTTGAGCACAATAATTCAGTAGCTGTAAGTTTTTTGACGAGTCAAGGCATAGGAATACAAAAGGGTAGGGAAAACACGAGAGAAGTTTAAAGTGGGAAATTCACGAGATTTCGAGATCAGCAGCTTTGTTTGCACAGTTTGGCACTGTTGGCGTGAGTTCGCGTGTGAAGACACGGTAATTTTGCTAGTAGAAAAGGGTCAAAAGTTGAAGGATTAGGTTGGTGCAAAAATAATGTCAGTATCCTATGCTATTAAGGCATGTGAATATGAAAATTATGGGATACCGCTTGATATAATGATGCAACCTCTACAAAATGACTATCGACAATTTACAAAATTCGAAGCCAAAAGCTGTGAGCATTTGACTACACCAAAAATTAGGTCTCTTCCTAGAGAGCTCCTACGAGCTTCTCAGTCGTTCATTGCGCAGCAGTTATATATAGTCGCCCTCACCCCACTAGTCGGTCGGTGGACGAATTCATATTTGAATTGGAGCAGGCCTGTCACGGCAAAGCGCGGCAGGAGGCAACGCTCAGCAATTACAAAAACACAATATAGATCAAAAACCTTGTAACAATACAAAAATTGCTAAGCAATGGCGAAGAAATACGCAAAGTGAATGCGTGAATTTAAACGGAGAGCTAAGGTGCCATGCTCTGCCGCGACCTGCCTGCTCCAGTTCGAATTCGAATTCGTCCACCGACCGACTAGTGGGGTGAGGACGACTATAGTAACATTTATACAGGGTGTCCCAAAAAATGTGCATACTGTCTAATTGTAAATAACTCTCTCGTAATGAAGTATTTCGAGAAGCTTTAGGTTTAGACTTACAGTATAGAGCGAATCATTCATCGCTCTTCACTACTGTAGGATTACGGTACAAACATCGACATTTAGGCTATTTGAGGCTATACACTGCCTGGGAAAAAAACCAAACAAGCTAAAAACTCTTATGCTACGGTAATGGGAGCCGCTGATTTCGAATTTGGAATTTCCATTCAACTGTGGTGCTTCTCTCCAAATTTATCTCCGGTAAATCGTAATAACTCAATTCCCAGCACTGTCAGAAATGTAATTACACCGTCAAAAAAGCTGAAAACACTTGTAAAGCTGTTAGATGGAATCAGCATGCGCGAAGATCTTACTACAAAAAAAATTTGTTGGGTGGCATAACTTCACATTGGTTCCATAAGCTGGAAGTTCTTACCGTAATCCTACAGTAATGAAGAGCGATCGATGATTCGTTTCATACTGTGAATCTAAGCTCAACCTCGTCCTACAAAATGGTACCTAAAGCTTCTCGAAACACTTCAATACAAGAGAGTTATTTACAATCAAACAGTAGGCTTTTTGGGACACTCTGTATATCGTTGAGTCATTTGCAGTACAAGTTGCGTATTGCACACCATGCGCATTACTTGACGAACTTGAAAGACTACATCTTGCTCATGTATGGTAATTTCTGCTTGTTTCCTTGCCTATTTTGATTTGATTGGATGTGTATTAGTTAGTGGTAAACGTCGCTGATTGTGAAAAAAAGTTACTGATAAGACGCTGTCGGTCGCCGCGCGGTTTGTGCAGGCTCGCATGTCAAGTTACAAATGTCTCAACGATATGGGCTGTAAGTTTTTCGTGTTTAGAATATCAGGAAAACGATAAGCGAAAGATGGCAATCTTTACCTCTAACAATGCAAATTTTTCCAATATGTAACGTATGTTACAGCCTTCGGAAGCGTAACTGTGAGTTTACTGTCTAATATGAGCTTCGGTTTCCAAGAAAAATCAATTTCAGCATAGGAACCTATAAGCTAGAACATTATCTATGTAGATATTATCTATGTACCAAACTAATAAATGGGATTAAATAGGATTCTGGACCCGTTCCTGCTGCAATCATGGTCGATATATGGGTTTAAATCGCATTGAAGATTTTGGATTTTGATACAGTTAAATACATATTGTTAAATAATTTAAGCAGAAAGTGTATCAGACTGCGTTAGCGTTTTGTTGCCCTTATTTGCGGTATCTGAAATAGAATTCAAACTGTGTAATAACGAGTTTACCTTCTTCAATTCATCTCCCCATTTACTGAGACCCTTCGACCATTATTATGCGTGCAGTTCGAAAATGTATTTGGTCTTAATTTCGCACCTAACAATAAATCTAATTCACTTTGTTGCAGTGGGCAGGGCAAGTGTATGAGAGACTTCAAGGAATGTTACATGGCAGACGGTAGTAAGGTGACAAATGCCTTGAAGTCTCATTCTTAAAACATTCTCTACCTATACACAACTGGTCCACTACCCTATCTACAAGATACTAGCTGGCATACTGGGCTTTGCCCGGCCTTGTCAATATACTATGATAAAGATCACTATTTCCTAATTTCAAACAATATGCCTTTGTCACTGTCTCACATCCAGTTAGACAACCGCCGGGGGCAGGCGATTTCTTGGATCAGCTAAATTTTGGGGCTTAGCACGCCTCTAGTGAGCTGGACTTCCTTCGCTGCCACATGTTCTGCTAGCGGGCAGCATATAGGATTTTGTGCGAGCGATAGTCCAATAGCTTTTTTCAGCGAGCGGGCCAAATTTTCAGAAGATTCTGCAGTTTCGGGCATAAGCGGAGTAAAGGTAACACTCTTTATGGCGGAGGTGTCATCGTTGTGTTTAATTACCTGATTTGACGTGCTTCCTCTCGCGAAACTACGGTCTGTTCGGCTCTCAACAATTTTGAAAATTCTTGGGAAAGTCCACAAAAATGTGGTCTCTGAAAAGCCGCAATTGTTCTTTGAGCGTTCGTGTAAAAGGAGGCCAATGCTTCCGAATATCTGCGAACGGACCGCAAAGAATCAGCAGACTATTTCTCCGGTACTCGTTTGCCTATAAATAGCATGACCGCCTACCCCGCTGATTCTTTGAGTACAGGCCCTACCCCATATGTTTTCGTGGTCAGCTTGCTGGCGTAATCTCCCATGCGCAATTCTCAACCCATAGTCCAAACTTTGCAAAATTTTCAATAGATTCACGGCCGCATAGCTCTTTGCAAAACGATAAAATCGTTATCGATTGGCAACAAAAAGTCTATGACATACACTCAGAGGTGTAATGCGCAAAGTTTGTCTGTCACTACAAATATACAGCCAATGAGACAACCAGCTATGTGTAAGATTTCTTGACTTTGACTGTGTGACTTTCATTGTCTGGCAGTGGCGGTCACAGGATTCTCCTTCTGGGGGGGGGGGGAATTCAAACAAATGGCCTGGCGTTAGCCACTCACTTTGAAAATTTTTGGGAGTGTTTCTTAAAATTGCGGGCCCATACCACGCTCAGAAAGGCCCAAGGCTAATTCAAATTTCAAAATCGAAATTTTATTGCAATCATTTACAAAGATAAGCAAGTCAATTGCACATTTTTGTAGCCCTTTTAGTAGATTTTGAAAAATTTTGTGATCCATTCTCGGTTGGAGGAGTGCGCCACTCCCCGCCCCTTCCCTTGGTTCGCCACTGCAGTCTTTCTGAAAAAAGATCTCTCAAAACAAGAAATATGTATCTCAACAAACTTGAATCGTCCATTCTTTTCAACACAATTCCATTATAGAAACTGTTTATAAAGCTCGTGTAAAAAAGCACTAGCTTTGAAAGAGCAATTTTTTTGCACCCTCATATAATCAAGACCATATCCTTACAACAAAGTCAAGTATGTGTGGGGGAGGATACAGAAAATAGTATGATGGTTAATAACGTGAAAACTTGGTCAAGCTGCAAAAAAAAACAAATATTTCCAATTCATCTTTGATTGTATTCAACCTTGTTTCAGGACTGCTTCTCAAGATTTGTTCATACACCAGCTTATAAGGACGTCGCAAAGAAAATAGGTCTACCTCAAACATTTCGATTCAATGAGAAAATTACTCCCACGTGACATGATTACCACGATTTGGCTCGCCACTTTTGTATCTTCTCACTCTTGAAATACTTTGTTAATCCTCATTTTTCAATGTTTAGTGTTTTGTTTTATTTAACAACTTGCTTGAAGGACCAGTTCTAAAATTTGCTTTTTTGCACGTTGTTTCGTAGCTTAAAGTAAGTGGGATGCATTAACAATCACTGATATAATAATCGTAATTATTGGTATTCGGATGATCTCGTGAGACTTGTTCACATACCATGCGGCAGAAGTAAGCGATGTCTGTCATTGTGACAATTTAGTCAAGTAGTTAGGATACTTGTTGTGGATTTAAATACTCTTTGAGCAAGCATATTCTTTGAAGCTGTTTTTTTTTGTTCAAGCGTTCACTGGAGCTCCAGCCCATGTAATTTCTATTGCCCTACGGGTTACCTCATGAGCACAATTTAGTCGTAATTTGTCAACAATCCAATAAAAATTCTGCTCTTTCAATCGGACATTGCGAATATTTATGCAGTGGATTTTTAAGCAGTAAAAACGCTTGTGTAAAATTTTGCTATCTATGATAGACATTTTCGGACGGCGACATAGGTGCACAAGTCTGACACCTTCTCTTGAATTTCGCGGAAAGTTCTGTCAAAGTCCACGATCATCAAATGAATAGGCCTAGTTTAGCACCTTCACCTTGTACCTTCAGCAAGCTTCTGAAGCTGCTACATGTAGATCCATGGAGGCTATGTAGTTACATATGAAGCAATACTTGGACTACTGCGGTGATGCAATTGCGTGCGATGGCGGATTTTACGCTCTTTTTTCCAAGAAGAAACTGGCGCTTGTTGTGTATGATATGTGACTTACTTGAGTCTACTTAGCATTTGGGGTTGGACCCTCGTTTCTATCTTTCAACAAAACAGCGCAGCACAGTTCATATTACAAGATCACCTTATGGCAAACCATTTGGAACTTTACATGATAATTTCATCTGACTGTAATTTAGATATAGCACTCAATCCACAAGACAAGTTCGCTTCCTTCCTCAGTACAAATTATAGGCCTTTCCCTACATAAAATCGTGGTCAGAAACTTGTTGAAACATGCAAGCATCCTCGTTTTTTCCATCTGTCGCCGAAATTGACAGACAAGTGCCGGAGAAAGAAATAGCGTTTGATAAACTGCGTATTCTATAAAGGCTCAATCTGAAATTAGAACCAGTGCCCATGACTAGCGTATACGATTGTGAAATTTGCAAAATCATGACTTTTCAAAGAGGTGCTACTTGGGCTTTTCCAGCCCGTTTCCTTTTCCACATCTTCCTTACCGGTTCTTACTTTACTTCGCTTTTCTGGTGAGAGAAGTCGCGATTTAGATGAGAAGTTGAAGAATGAAGGCTGTTCTGCTCTATGTATCCGAGAATATGTCATCGAGCGCTTGTCCATACTATCTTCGTTATTTCTGTTCATACCTAATTCATGAACCTACTTCATGTGTCCCAGGAAGCAGCTGCGTAATTTCCAGTCTGTATTGAAAGGCAAAAAGACAGCTTTCTAGAACACAAGAAGTAAGTTTGAACATAAATAAGGAAGAGGGAATGGACCAGAGCAGAAATCTCATTTTGCTGCTTACTTGGAGCAGAATGGCGCTCATTCTACTACCTGCTCTAAAATCAAAGCTCTTTTCACCAAAGAAGGAAGTGGGATAGAAGAAGGAGGCCGAAACGAGTGAAATCTGAAAAGAAAAACCGTTGAAAGCTGTCAGAAATCTCTAACACCCACACTCAAAACCGCATGCGGCCGGCTGCAGCTATGCAGTACGAGTTCCGGCACAGTTTCAGCACAGTGCGAAAAGTGTGCTGGAACTGTTCCAGAACCTTCTGGTCGGTATGAACCCAGTTTAACTTACCTGCACACAAGCTTCACGGCCGCGGTTTCCCCTGTTACACTTTATGTTATCTAATACTTCCTACTCCAACGTGTTGACTTTTAATAATCTTTTGTCATCTTCTTCGATGTAAAAACACCACCAAATTGGATAATAAGTAATGTGATAGAGATAAACAATGGACCAATAAAGGGAACACACTGCGTTAACTGGCTTTTCCTTTACCTGGATGCATCTTTTGAGAGTTCTTTTGGAGAACGTGCTTTAGTCAAGGAAGTTGTGCGCCTGGATTCTATTAGCACTGTCTAAGAGGAAGGTATTCTTGAGTCTTTGCTGGAAATGATCAATATGTTCTGATGAACGTTCTAATTTGCTCCGTTGCTAATAAAAAACAGCTGAACAGCTTTTGAGACATCCCAGGTGCACTCGTACCTCAACAAGATAACTTTGAAAGACAGGCAATATCGAGACACGTTAATTTTTTCTTGAAACGTGACAGATAGTTTTTATATATTAGAATAGTCTAGAAAAGAAGTGAACTAAGGTCCGAGCATACCAAAACAACAGCGATGTATTCAAGCCATTACTCGTATGCTATACTGCCTAAATTTGCAAATTGATCATTTCCAGCAAAGACTCAAGAATACCTTCCTCTTCAAACTTTTTCTACCATGCAAATTTAGGCAGTATAGCATACGAGTAATGGCTTGAATACATCGCTGTTGTTTTGGTATGCTCGGACCTTAGTTCACTTCTTTTCTAGACTATTCTAATATGTAAAAACAGGATAACATTTTTATAATATCAGTGCATGCCTTAGATTTTTCAATCGCAAGTAGTTTTATTATTGACTAGAAAACTAACTTCCTATATAGGGGTAGAGGCGAAACAGGCTCAATAGTAACCCTTTATTATTTATTTACTAGCTGGCTTACCCGGCTCCGCCGTATGTTCCGAATAGAAAATTCCATTTCTTAACCGATCCGGACCAAACTTGGCACACATACACTTCGGGCCCCGGCGGGTGTCACAGTCCACTTTTCGTTATCGATCGATGACGAAAAGTGGCCTATGACACCCGCCGGGGCTTGATGTGTATGTGTGCCAAGTTTGGTCCGGATCGGTTCAGAAATGGAATTTTCTATTCGGAACATACGTACACACATACAGACATACAGACAGGGGCAACGTAGGGCGCCTTTTGGATCGGACAAAAACGATACGTCTGCCCGAACGACACGCCATGGAGACTGCCTCATGCTCTGTACATACAACGTCAGGACAGTCTCCACAAACGCCGACCTCCACGCTCTTCTCGACGCTGCAGAGCACATCAAGTACCACATCATCGCTCTGCAGGAAACGACCAGAAAGAAGGACGTGTGACAGATGAACAATGGGACACTCATCATTCGTGGAAAGGTTCCATCACGAAACGTGGGAGGCGTCGGCTTTGTCGTCCACCCATCTATCGTCCATCTTGTCGATTCGCACGAGATCTTATCACCTCAACTTGGCATCCTACGACTACGCCCTCCACATCAGAAGACCATCAGCATCATCAACTGCTATTCTCCAACATCAGCAGCTGACGACTCAGAACTAGATGCTTTCTACGAAGACGTGGAGGAGGTCGTCCGCAACGAAAACTCCTTCTACAAGTATGTTGTGGGCGACTGCAACGCGAAAATCGGGATGCCACTGGAAAAAGAATGTAGGATCGGGAAGTTTGGATATGAGCTCCGGAACGAAAACGGCAACCGTCTCGCTGGGCTTCTCTCCGGCACGACTTTTCCATGGAAAGTCCATCTTTATGAAGAAACACCATCGCCGGTGGACTTGAAAATCGCCCAACGAAACAACTCATGCGGAGGTCGACTACATTCTCACCAACCGATTGTGGAGCTTGCTCGATGTCTCAGTGGTTCCGTCCTTTTGCAGTGGCTCCGATCACCGCCTCTTGCGAGCGAAGGTACATTTCAGTTGAAAGCTGGAAAAGAAGTTCTGCCACAGTGCCGCAAGAAAGAATAGTGTCGTTTATGATGGTAAGAGGCTGGATGAGCTCATATCAAGTTGTGACTGGCCCATCGAGGAGGACTTAACGTACGACTACGACCGGCTTCTGAAAGGATTGTGAGCCTGCGGAGAGTGTGCCTCAGTGACTTCCGAGAAGAACTTGGAACGAATTTCGAAGACCACCAAAGAAATGCCCGAAAGAAAAAGATTTTTGAGGCAGGATTCGAATGCAAGCCATCTCGAGCGACTGATAACCAACGCCAGTTGCAGAACAGCTTTGCAGGACGATCTCAGGAAGAACAGGCAAGCCAAGATACTGAAAGCAGCCGAAGAAATACGAAGTCTCAAGGAGTGCCGAAGGGACCTCTGTAAATATCACGTACCGCTGGCTGCACTATTGAAAGAAGACGGGACTCCGACTTCTTCCCGATACAAGATGGAATCTATCGCGAAGATTTTTTACACCAATCTCTTCCGCTCATCAACACCCGTGCCGATGCCCGGTTCCCACTGGAGACGTACCACCACGAATTCTACCTGCTGAAGTGCGTACCGCGATACAGACCATGAAGACGTCCACGGCTCCAGAACCAGACCATCTTTCAGTCAAATCACTGCGAGCCGGAGAATAACGTCTACACGAGATTCTCGAGTCGCTTCTGACATCTTACCTTCAGAAGGAGAAGACTTTCGACCAGTGAAGAACGTTAAAAACCGTCCTTCTTCTCGACAGGGGCGAACGGGAGGATCCTTGGAGCTACCGTCATTATGCCTGCTGAGTGTGTTATACAAGCCTTTCACGTTGATAATCCTCGCTAGCATATCTAGGACACTGGATAAAGCCCAACCCCAAGAAAAAGCTGGATTTCGCAAGGGATTCAGTTGCATGGACCACATTCAGACGGTTTCGAGGGTCATAGAAGTCTGCCGGAAGTACCGACTGCCTCTTGTCCTAACCTTCGTCGACTACGAGAAAGCCTTTGACAGCGTCGAGACCAACGCCATCCTGTCAGCGCTAGTCAATCAAGGAGTGGATCCAGCTTACGTGAGGACGTTAGTCGACTGTGCAAGGACTGTACAACGATGATGCAGCTGTTCCATCGCCCCCTGACTCCCAATATGGAAGGGGTTCCGACAAGGTGACACAATCTCGCCGAAGCTGTTCACCGCGGCCTTGCAGTGGGTGATGAAGTCACTGGGCTGGAACGAGAGAGGCATACGAGTTGATGGGAGATTCCTGTCCGACCTTCGTTTTGTGGACGACATGGTTCTCTTCTCGAGCAGTATCACCGAAGCAGAGACGATGCTGAAGGAACTGAACGAAGTAGGGAAGAAGATCGGACTGCGAATAAATCGGAAGAAGACTCAGTTCATGAGGAACGCCCTTTGCGAAGATGCAGAAATGGAATTGGAAGGCACCCCTATCATGGAGACGTCTTCTTACGTGTATCTCGACGTTCGATGAACATGGAGAACGACTTCAGGGGAAAACTTAACAGGAAAGAGCAGCCTGGGCCGCCTTCGGGCCTTTAAAGGAAGCCACCGACCAGCTGACGGACACGGAGCTTCGTGCACA